TTCACAGCTTTCACAGCTGTATCTATGGCTGACTGAATGTTCTTCCAGGCTTCTTCAGGGTGAGCACAGTTGTCGAACACAGATATGTGTTTAGCTAGTTCTTCCTCAAATAGGGATTTAGTTTCCTGATCGAGCTGGGACGTGATGGTTTTACCGCCAGCTGTTTCCTACGTCCGTTCAGTCGTAAGCACACACGAGCCCGGACCAGTGCGTGATCGGTATCTACACACGTGTTCCAGAAGGAGCGACAATCTCCTACCGACCCACGCCAACGATAGCTTATTGCTATGTGGTCTATTTGTGTCCAGCGTTGGTTTGATGAAGGGGGTTGCCAGGTCAAACAGTGTCTCTCCTTGTGTTTAAAGTTAGTGCTTACAAGAAACAAATGATTATCTGAACAGAACTGTAGGAGACGGTCACCGTTGTCGGTTCGCTGATACGGAACTCCATAGTGCCACCGACATCCTTCTCAGAGTGACACAATTTCCCTACTTGAGCATTAAAGTCACCAGCTAGAACGACTATATCTGAGCGTTTAGCCTTTCGCAGCAAACTAGACAGTTTTTGGTAGAACTCATCCTTCGTTTCATCCGTCAAATTGTACTGTAGTTACAATATTCAAATAAAGCATTGTATTCCATACCGGAAGGTTGTTTTCGAAAGGATAGAATTTACCTACTTGTTGCTCGATATAGCCACCTGAATTGATGACATAGCTCCCTCCCATAGATAAAATGAGATCCAGGGTTTACTCAGGCATAAGAATAAGTGCTAGAACCTTTTTTTCATACCTGGAACTTCTGAGGCCAGAAAGTTATACACCGTTGTCAGGAACAAAGCTACTGCAAGAATTCGTCAATTAAGAGTAAATTTCGAAGTGTGTCTAGCTCAAAATGCAACGACATAACCCAAGAAGTTATTTTCGTGCAGAGACCACAGGAATAAGACATCTGGCGGAGTCCTAAACCTGACTGTTGATAACGAAACAATAGAAGAGGACCAGGAAAAGTCGGAAGAAACGGCAGACTACTTCTCCAAAGTCTTCACACAAGAGTCATCACGTCCCATAGCATCAACTGTGGCTGCGTCAAAGGATAGGTTTCGTCGACATCGACCAAAACACCATATTCCAATCCCTAGAGAAACCAAACGCAAGGAAATTGATGGGACCCGATGACCCTCATCTAGGGCTTCCCAAAGAGCTAGCGGCTTGCATAGCCCTTCGATCGACTATGGTACACAACCTATCCCTCGCGACTGAAAAGGAACTAGTAACCCCCATCCACAAAGAAGGATATAGACATTATCCTTCAAACAACAGACCCATCAGTCCCACAAGCACCCTAATCAAGATACCAGAAAACTTATCAAGAGGTCTATCACAGCATATCTGAGAAACAGCTTGTTGCCCAGAACATAGCGAGGATTTCGGGGAAGGCTCCCACCACTGACAAATCCTACAGTAACAGGAAACATGTCGATGACGTTTTCATAGGCTTCGGTAATACCTTTGACAAAACACTTCACACAAGACAGCTAATGAAACCCTTAAGTCTTGGAATCAAGAGCGGCTTGGTAAACTGGACTAGAGAATTCCGCACAGGTAGCAGATAGAGGGTCAGGATCCACTCGAAACTCTCCTCTTAAACAACGGCATTTAATGCAGTGCCACAAGGCACCCCACTCGACTCTCGCTTATGTATCTTGTATGTTGACGACTTAACTGGACTCATGAAATCTCCTATGATTCTCTACACAGATGATATAAGAATTTGCAAAGACCTTAAAGGTAATAATGATAAGCTCGTGTTGCAAGAAGATCTCAACAAATTGTTAGCTGTGTCCAAAGAACGATGCTCCCAATCCAGGCAGCAAAGTGCGCAACCATTCGGACTGACCTTGTAAACGTCAGCTTATACAAACTAGTGGGAATAACACTGCCATCAGTTGAAACTCATATGGATATAAGCGTCACAATAAATCGTGACCTAAAAACTATACCACACTATCGCGCGGTGGCAGCTCGGAGTTTTATGTCATCATGGCAATACTCAAAGCGTTTACATCTCTGGTGCTTTCTTCTCTTGCTTCGCGTGCTACACGGAATGTGGCGACTTGAACTTCCGCACATTTGTACGAAGTTCTATGTCGAAAACAGACAGACAGACATCTCTGGTGAGGTAAAAACTGGAAAACTTCATCCAGGGATCTAGCCCTTGCCTTTAAGGAGACTCATACATTCTAGAAAGGTTTAAAAGGGAGACAAAACGTATGATTTCTAGCATCATTAATTTATCATAAGAGAGAGTTACCAGTTAGGATATTTTTCCTTATCATAACTAATGCAGAGAGATCCCACTACAATGTTTAAAATTCTAAATAGTTCCTATGGTCGTGAAACGTATTCCCTTTTCGCTTTCTACCAAGTCGGAACACCTCAAAGGACAAAGCAGGAAAGTTCAAAAGACAAGAATCTGTCTGTCTGTCTGTTTTCGACATAGAACTTTGCACAAATGTGCGGAAGTTCAAGTCGCCACATTCCGTGTAGCACGCGAAGCAAGAGAAGAAAGTACAAGAAAAGCATAATAGAAACAGTGAGCAGAGGTGTGAGACAAAGGAGTAATAAAGAAATACAAAACAGTTTCATTGGAGATCATAAGTCACAAGGAGTGGATGCATCTGCGCCATTGAGAACGATTTTGAGCCATGTCACCAATTGTTTCCAACCATAGATTTTTACCGTCCCGAGGACCCCAGCCTGGAAGTCTACACCTTCCTACGTGGCTTAGACCAACTGTTGTGGATTTCATTGACTGGTGAAGCCAAGTTTTTGTTTGACCGCCGCTAGCTTTTTTCCAGCCTGACCCTATATCCGCTAACATAGCTCGTCGAGGGAGGCGATGACTTGGCATACGTAACACATGTCCTAACCATCTCAGTCGATGTAGCTTCACGACTTCGTCGATTGATTTCCCCTGTTTACCTAGAACTCTACGCCTAACCTCAATGTTGCTCACCTTATTATGCCACTTTACACGGGAAATAGAACGCAGGCACCTATGATCAAAGGCAGCTAGTCTTTTCATGTCTTCCACTCTCAGTGGCCAGGTCTCAAACCATAAAGGAGGACGGAGTGGACTGATGAGCAGTACACCCGCCCTTTGGTCAATAGTCGAACATCTCGTCTACGCCAGAGTCGGCGTAAACTAACAAATGCGAAACGAGCCCCTTGTATTCGTGCTGAGATTTCGTCAGAGATCAGCCCGTTGGGGCTGATGGTACTTCCCAAATAAGTGAAGCGGTCAACGTGCTCTACCACTTCACTTCCTATTTTTAAACTAGGCGTCGATGTAGTCCAGTCCTGTAACATCATCTTGCATTTGGCGGGAGCGAATCGCATGCCAAACATTCGTAGATTGCGGCTCAAGGTGTTCAGAAGACACTGCATTTTTTCAGCGTTCTCGCCTAGAAGGACTATATCGTCTGCATATTCTAAGTCAACGAGATTATTCCCTGGTAGCAAGTCAATTCCTGAGTCGCTGAAGTCACCTAGGGTTAAGTCCATTAACACATCTATGATGAAGTTGAATAGAAAAGGAGATAATGGGCATCCTTGACGGACACCACTGGTCGTCATCAGTTCAGATGACAGCTCGCCGTAAGCCCTCACCTGGCTGTATGAGTACGAATAGAGTGCCTTAATCAGTGCAATATATTTTCTTGGAATTCCCTTTACAGCCAAGCATCTCCAGAGAACTCCCCGATCGACAGAGTCGAATGCTGCCTTTAGGTCAAGAAATATAATGACTGTTGGACGCCGGTAGGAATGCCTATGTTCTAGAATCTGTCGGAGGGTGAAGATATGATCAATACACCCTCTTCCTGGTCTAAAGCCTGCCTGGCTCTCTCGTGTTTGTGCTTCCCGAGCACCACTCAGTCTACGCATGATTATTGAGTCTAAGACTTTAGATACTATATTAGTCAAGCTAATCCCTCTGTGATTATCACAGGAAGACTTGTCTCCCTTCTTGTATATAGGGATAATCAGGGACTTACACCAACCCGATGGGACTTCTTCTGATTCCCAGACGCTGCCTAGTACCTCAGTTAATGCAGACAGTAAGCTGTCTCCACCGTACTTAAATACCTCTGGAGTTATTCCATCAGGATTATATCGTAGCAGAGTACCGGTTTTACCACCAAGTCATAAACTCTTAGGACCGACTTCAAGAAGAAAACGCGTCAGTGCCCTCAACTGATTCGTTTAAGAATGGTTTAGACAACCAGAAACTTACTAGAAAAGGAGTAAACACATGCTTCGAGACTTCTGTTCCCAATGAATAAATGAGACTAAGATCACCGGCATGGATTAACAATAAAAATGCTGTTTTTTTCTGGCCTCAAAAACTTGAAATCTCTTTTCTAGATTTAATTGACACACAATATATTTGAAGCACGATTGACTATTAAAGCCTGTTATCTCCAAATAAAGAATTAGGAGGCAATTTCGGAGTATTAAGGGTAAATTCTGGGGAGAATTTGTGGAGGTTGTTAGGGGAAAATGTTGCCTCAAACTTCTTATTAAGGTTTAGGTCACTGTTCGTTTCAAATCTAATATTTAAAATTATAGATTCGTGCCATTTGCGTATTGTCACCCAAGTTTTAGAAGTAATCATTTCATCAACGTATAGTGTACATTTTTGGGCACGTTCTTCATGTGAAAAAACGTTTGCATTGACAGTTATCTAATAGAAATCCATCTCTGGGGTGAGATTTTCGACTCAGTTTGTTTCGTCACTTTTACATATTCCATTCACGTTTATTATTCTCATCGTTAGTTTGCTAATTATCTATTATGTAGCTACATAACCCAAATTAGGACCCAAAATATCAGGTTCACTAGTTAACTATGACTTATTGCCAGGAATTCCCTGGTACAAATTAATAAATTTTGATCACCTGGACTAAATAAGTTGGTATCACATCCATTCACAACCTACTTAATGCAATCCTTTAAATATCCACCGCGTTGCTGACCAAGGTCAAGGCCACATGGGCAGGATGAAGTTACCGCTGTGGTGAAAGTATTAAATGGTATCAATATCAGTACTGGCAGCAATAATGAATAGACACCAGCTTTATACAACCTTGAAAACAGCCAATTAGGTTCTCTCAGGTGAAAAGTGCTACTTAATTTATAAAAATGTGTACCTAAGATATATGTAACAGGAATGAATCATACACGATGTATATATCTCTAATGTGCTGCAAAAACTGGTCCCAGTTTCTCATAGAAGTGGTTATAGGCACACCAAACCAACTTATTCTCTATTTCTGTTTCCGTAGCAGATACAGGTGGCATATGCGCAATATATTACAAAGGGAGGGTTCTGATTTCGAGAAGCGTCAAAAATATCACCATTAAGTACGACTTACCAACTCTTACAGACTTCTTCATTTAAAGAGGTCGCATAAACATCAACAGACAGGCAGTACTTTTTCATAGTGGTTATCCCTCATTATATGCATGTTATATTCCTCCCTATTAGCCTATTTTCCACGGAGAAGTTAAAAACCGAACACAGGTTACATTTGGGAGGACTATGACTGGCATCCATTTGTAATGCTGAGCTATCTGATTGGTCAAACCGAGGTCCCTTAATTTGGCATCTTTTGTTTACGCTTGCCTCGGTATCCAATAAATGTTACCAGCTGGTTAAATTTAGAGTGATTTCTTTGAACAAGTAGATTCATGCTTCAAAGAAAACTTTATATTGTTTTCAAGTCTTTGCCTGGACACTGCTAATCTCTTGCAGGACATTTATAATAAAATGCATGTGGTTCATTTTTTGAACGTCTACCTGTTTCAGTTGCTGCTCGTCTTTTTCCAGAGAGAACCTCAATATTTAAAAAACCAAGATAGTGATTAAAATTGCATAAATATGACAGTGAGACATCTTCACAACTGACTCTTACTAAGAAGGACAGCTACAACTGAAGACTGAATCCTCTTCTACTTACGATTTTGGTTGGTTAGGCGCAGTCTATGTGCTGCCATACCATAATCTGGCCACCATTTAACTATTTGAGGCTATTAGCAGTTAGTTCTTTAGACAGTGAGTGAAATGAAGTGTTAGTATGTCAGAGTTTTAGCCCTAGATTAATCATTCTTTCGTGAATTTCTGGATGGAGACCTGTAATGGTCAGTAAGCGCGATGGCTCCTGTATAACTTTGATCAGTGCTGATCCTGTTCGCAGTGGTCTAGTTAATGCCTGTCTAAGGTATGCAGATAAATTACGACGAAATCTTCACACCCACTCACTGCCCGGCCTCCATAATCCAATATGATCCATATTTGCATATTTTTGAAACTATTGTCGCCTCAGTATTCACACTAAAAATGCTGAAGGTATACTTATATCGGGCTTTTGTAGAGCCCTTCTTATATATTCCCTGAAGCAGAATATGGGTCCCGACTGCACCAACTTCATGTTTGACGCATCTATCCAAACTGTCCTTAAGCCGAAGACCCATGTTTTGTTTCAAAGCCAGTATACCAGATAGATATACGGGATAATGTGTCACCCCTTTCGCTTTTGAGATCTGTAGGGAGTAAAGTACATCTTTTTGCAGTTAGAAGTCGTACAATTGACAACAGCTAACTGTCAGGAATTTCCCAGACGCTAATGGACCTCAAAACAGTTATCCTCGATTGAAGCTCTTCTTCAATTTTTTACCTTCCGAAAGTAGATGAAAACGAAATTTTGGCATGGAATTTCCCCAATAAACACCTTAAATTTTCTACTGTGAAAATTCAGTGGATTAGTCTGGTTAGAACGAGAAGACATAAAAACCTTTTGGGGGAATCTCGTCTCAGAGATGTAGTTTGTGAATCAAGAGATGGCAGTGTTCCAGGAAGCCGGCCGCTAACAGTACTTGGAGGACTATGAACTTATTTATGCAGTGGTTTCTATCATGATTATAAACACTGGTTACTGTATAGCTTTACACTCTACGTAAACTTGCGTTTCGACTGCAAATCATCTTAATTTCACATCCCTATACATCTTAACCTTATATTTCTGCATCCTCAACGAAGGAATTTGTCTTAAGACCCACGATCAATGTTCATTTCTTCTTCAATAAAGAATTCTATAAACAAAATAATGGTGTTCCTGTAGATTCACAACAAGGACCAATCGTTTTCATATGAATTTTGAGCTTGGACCACTGGAAGGAGTCATTAATGAGTTTAAATTTTGTTGACGCCATTTGGCTGACATATGAAAACTGAGAGTGACGCAACTAACATCCCGGACAAGTTTAATGATGCGCCTCTAGCACCGGTCTCCGCCATCTAGGTAGAAATAAGTGACTTCATTTCATTCTCACTCGTCCTTCTGACGAGTAAAGAGGGTGGTACTTTAAGAAGAAGTGTACATAGAAAACCTGAATCAAACCTGATCAATGTATTCATCTTTGATGTTTCGCACCTTCAAAATATGAATGCAAATTAGTAGCGCTTGGAAAATAGTAGAGAGCCAGAATAATCTGCTCAAAAGATTCAATCAGCGAGGGGCTTAAGATTATCGGGTGATTGCTCTGTGAAAGTGGTTATCTAAACAAGCTCATTGTCAAAAATGTGAATTTAGCATGAAAACCTGCCATCATAGTGACAGCTCCAAAGAAAATCCTGTTTGTAGAACCTTAGTTGCTTGATTAGAATGTGAAGGAAACAGAAACACAGCGTTAGGGAAGCAGTTAAATAAGCATTTAATGCAGTGAAGGTAAGCTACCTCTTTACAGTCATTCAAATTCTACATTCGGGAAATAAGGACAGTATCTAATGTTTTCCCCTCCATCTATATCTGCCTACTTGATTGCTGAAGTGGAGTTAGTGACATTAGGCATAGAACCAGGCAGGTTAGTCATCGGGTTCCCAAATATCACTCTCCTTGGTTAGGCAAAGGACAAATGAAATCTGTTAGTAGCCCCATTCTAGCACACTTTGTAGATACTGAACATAAAGTTGATGTTAGTACTGCATTTAAGGTCATTCATAGCACTCCAACCAATATTGATTTCTCATCATGAGTGCGTCTTCTGCATACAGCTGAAGCTATTGGAATATAAATGAAGCCAGATAGACAGGTGTACTATTACAGCTTTCCGGTGTACGATCAAGGTAGAAATGGCAAATGGACATAATTCATTTAACTCAAACTTATATATATTTCTTCCTGTTTATGCAGGAACATACCAATTGTACAGGCATGGATAAGTTATTATATAAATTACACATAACTTGATGTATGATGAATTTACAGTTCGGTTGTTCTTCCTGACATTAGGGTCAGTCGGATCAGTCTGCTATAAAGTCTGTTTGCGTAACACGTGGTGGGTGGTTAGGACTCTCGCCGACCATGCATATGGTCCGGGGTTCGAGCCCGCGCCGACGCACACCTTGATATCTATGGCCGGCCTGCGAAATTTGGGCTACCGATATCCGTGCTGAAAATTCCATACCCAAAAAAGGAAACAAAAATAAAAAATAAAATAAATAAATTTCATCAGATATAGAAATATTGTCTTCGCATTTACAAAAACCCAGACATCAGATGAATGTAATAAAAATATCTGGGGAAAAAGCTTGAAGTCAATTCTCCTATATAACTTTGTTGTGAACAGCACCCTTGGCTTAAAGTTTATTGATGTATTATGTTGAGATCAGTGATATATTTATTCCACTTTTTCAGCAGTCTTATCGTAGTTTTATAACAGGAAAGAAATTTGATCGTGGATGCGAAAACTAGATAAGGTCATGTTAAGTTATTTTACTGCATCAAATGGTGCCGAGGTCGATTCCAGAATTCTCCATTTGCGCCATTTGTGTCTGCACGGCGGACTGTACTCGGAAGTTGGGTAAAATGTTGAAAACTGTTTGATAACCAGTTGCTTCTTTGTTTCAGATCATGAATACTCATTTACAGCATATTCGCCAGCGTCTTCAAACGCTAGAATTGGATCGTTCATGGAATTTGAGTGGTTATGAGTTAAATGGTTTGGAATCATCTTCATTCTAGTTTGACTTCATGAATAGCCAGCTTCTGTTGCCTTTAGAAGTTTGAGACGATGAAAATGCAGCAAATCAGCATGAATTCCACATGTTATCTTAAAGTCATGGTTCTAAGTAACCTTCTTCAATCACGTGATTGTCCGTTTACTCCCTTTAGCAGCGCTACCGAATTAACTTTAGGGATTTCTTCTTTAGCGAATAATGCTTATTCACAGAATTTATAGTCCGCCTATCTCCACCTATTCATGAAAATATAGAAGTCAGACTAAAATTGAGACTGTAAGCAACCTTGATAATATTATATAAACATATTGTGCGGCACAGTGAGAATAACCCTTGAGGATACCGAAACAAAACCAAATTACTCCAAATAGCATCTACAGTACTCACTTAAGGTACCGATGGGGATAGAACCTAGGACCCTCAGGACACCAGGCCAAGCTGGTTGACCATTCAGTAACTTGGGCTGAAATTCATTGACCCATGAATTTTAACTTCTGCCATTTCACCCACTTTTAGAACGACTGCCAGCTAGTGTCATCAGAGAGTATTGGTTCTTACACCTCATCGAACCCTGTTGGTTATGACTTCTCACTAGAAACTCCAGGCAAATGCCTTCCGTATTCAGCCACTAGTGAGAATAAGATTATAAAATATGAAGTAGTCAGGTGGACGAATATGCTATCAGCAAAATACAATTCCGTAAAACACCCACAGTGATGAGAAATATCACCCTGGAATTCTGTCCCTTGTGTCAAGCATGCGATGAAGCTATTGGTAAGATAATGGAGAACATCTTTTAGTTTACACTCCACCACTGGAGCGGCAAGACAAAACTAGGGTTGAAGGAAAGAAAGAATACTTTGCATTGAAGTAATTATCAACCAAATGAACTTTTAACTGAATGTTACAATTTAATTTAATTTTAGATTTTCCCGTCGATTGATTGGACCGAAGTACTCGGTCTCACGATGACTTGTCTGCTTCTTAAG